GAAATTTTAATATTACTACTTAAATTATATTATATTATTTGGATAAAATGCGTTTTTAAAATTTGGATTAATTAGTGTAATTTTGCGTTTGAAATCTGGACATTTTTTTTTCTGTTTCGTATTCGAATGGAGAATATTATAGGACGTAGGGTCAAAATATTTCACCTGTTTATACATTTTCTCGTCTTCAATAAACTCCCATGCCGTCCCCTTGACCTTAGCTTCGTTAAGCTTCAACCAATTGAAGGTTTTCAATGGTCCTGTCGGCTTTGGGACTCGTTTTTGGGTCTAAAATCACGGAATTCTTAATACCGTTACTGAAAGAGGTTATAAAATTTAAGTCTTTCGGCTTACCTCCTCAACCTTTGTCATTCCCATTGCTAGCGGTGGAGGTGGAGGAGGTGGCGCTACTGCAGGTGGACAAACAGGAGGAAGAGGTGATACTGAGGGGCATGGGTCCGATGGAGAAGAGATGTTCGAGATCCTACAAAATAGAACTAAAAGATAATTGGACTAAGGGTTATGCGTGTCTGAAAGATTAAAGATCAAGCTGAGGGTCTAGCGGTAACCTAGGTTTCAAGTGAGCTATTTCAAGTAAATAACTGCTCGCTCCTTTTCCCATGAATAGCAATGATGAAACATACCAACCTGCTTACCACACTATTCCTTCCATCACCCAAATCCGCTATGCGATTGTCCAATTCCATTGCACGCATCCTTTCTTGATCCAATTCTTCTTTTAATCGTTCCATTTCACCTTCCAATCGTTCATAGTCGCATTGCGTATGCAATCTGCTTGGCGAAGGTTAATGTACGGCAAACAATTGAGCCACAACAACCTAACCTTGTGAGAACGTCCTCCATATCAATGGCTGATGTGAACGCTTCCTCTACATCGGTCATACCGTGAACAGTTGCATGTAGGGTTAAATGTTGCAGGATCAAGTCGAAAAGTCGCCAAAGTGGAAGATGTCTTTCGTCGGAAGGAACCTAAAGACATGCTGAAGTTAGCATTTACGCTATTTAGAAGTTGTTGAATGTGTCTCATACCATAAAAAGATGTTGAAGGAGGGACATGAAGTGTGGATGAGCTGGTGAATTTTTCAATTTTGACTGAAGCGCTTCCGCAATACCTGTGGCACTTTCGAAATTTACAGGAGACGATGCACCGGAATCTTCTGAGTTTCCACTGAAAACGAGGTGTAGTGTCTTGCTTTGACAATTTTCCATAAAACCTACGCGGACAGAACAATTTCGTCCTCTTTCCTCATCAT